ATGGATGCAAAAGGTGTTTGATCCTGAGCTTCACCACCACTAGAGCTCGAGCTTGCGTTGCTAGCAGGCGTCGAGTCAGTGTTCACTTTCACCTGGAGCATCTGATCCAGGACCAAACACAGTGCTGTCACCCACACTGGAGTTTCCGAGGAGGTATCATTGTAGGAGGCCAGGATTTCCAAACTGGTGCCGACAAGTCCACTCTTTGCAGCAACCTCCCGGGCAGGAGTATCTTCAGTTAAGACCAGCGCCATCAAGTGAGAGACAGTCGATAGCCGGTTCCAATCAGCACCTTCGGCATGACACCGCTTCAGTTGCTCCACGAGGAAGGATACCACTAAAGGACGGTCCCGGCCGCTGCTGTAATTGCTGATAGTCACCAGTAAGTCCGTGAGGGTGAAGATCACCGCGTCCTTCATCTGCAAGATGTTGATGCACGTGTTCACCATCTTTTCCACGTCTGGCATTTGCAGTACGATTTCTTCTTCCTCCGCAGTCATCTCGGTGGCCTTCCCTGCTTCGCCTTCACCGTCGGCATTGCCAAGAGAAAGAGCCAATGCCCGAGCGAGCTCATCTTCCTCCTGAGTCACCTCCTCCGGATGAGTGAACAGCCACTCCATCGCCAGCTCCACACTGCTGGCCTCAGAATTTCTTAGTGCTGCTTCCGCTCTAGCACGTGGAAATCCCATCTCCATGATTGTCGAGATCAATGCCTCGTCTGGTGCTGGACCGAGACGAGGATTCGCACCACCCGAAGAGCTTCTGGACTTGGTATCCCCTGCCCCAGCGTAGATTTGTCGGATAATACCAGCGATAGACGTTATAAACGTCGTGTTGCATTCAGCAAAGCTGGGATGGTTCCAGACGGGAAGAATGGCGTTGAGTGCCTGCATCTGCATACTCTGCACGAACTGTTCCACGTCCTTGGGAGCTGCTATCGGTGCGTCTTGAACCGGCTGCACGAGCAAATGTGTTACCGATATCGGACTTAACAAGGTTGTGGACGTAACCAGCTGCTCTATAAGCTTTAAGTAGCTGTGCAAGGTGTTCCACAGCCAAGAATGACTTTCGGACTTCTGATCCGAAGCTTCGGCTTCCTTCCCGTTCTCTGCTTGCATGTTGCCAAACCCGACTGTCCATAACAGCTCGCTAACCTCTTCAAACGTCTCCAACAGATGTGCGAAGGTGCCATAAACGTAAAGCCTGTTCACCAAGACTGTATTGCACGTCTTCCTCCGGCTGTCAAAAAGAACGGCTTGTATATCCTCGGCAACCTTCCCCAAGTATCGGCATCTGACAGTCGGACTTCCCCCGGCTGGCTCAAATGACAAGTTCTCCAGAAACACCTTCGCAATGCCCGAAGCCACAGACTTAGCAGGAACGCTCATCGTCGCAAGATCGTCACGCCGGCGTGAAGGTATCACCATAGACTTGCCCAGAGCCAGATACAAGCTTCGCGCTGCCAAAACAAGCTTCATCACCATCTCGTAGTTCAACACCTCCGGCGACTTTCTCTTCGAGGACTCCTGCACTGGAGGTTGCTCGACAACGGTGTCAACTTCTATGTTTGTCGAAGTTATGCCCTGCCGTGCAAGTCGACCCATTCGTGCAATCTGTGAGAGAGCCTCGGCGGTACTGACAGGCTCACGACGGCTCGAGGATCGGCGGTGAAGGCTGTCTGTTCGAACCGGAGCAAAAAAATCTGCACCTATCCCCCAGTCAGCTGGACCACTACGAACCGCTGTTTGTCTGTCCGTTCCACCAACGGAGAACAAGCTTTCCAGGTCTTCTTCGTTTTCCCTCGCAGAAGAGGAGCTTGCTGCACTGGCCGAAGCTTCATCCACTTCCTTCTTGCTCTCTGTCTTCCCTTCGCTGGCAAGGCAGACTTGCCACAAAACTTCCCGATGCACCCGTCCTATGTCATGCAGTATATCAGCCTCCCCTGTGCTCAATTCGGCCAGCATCACAGGTGAACTTCTCACCAAGACTGCAGACAGCGATAAAAAGCACTCCGTTGCGGACAGGCTCCTTAGAACCTTCATCTTCAGACCTGTCTCCAACTCAAAGATACGGCTACCTGCTATAGACTCGAGAAGTGCCAGAGTAACCTTAAGATCTTCCCGGAGTACTTTGCACACAGACTTCGTTAGCGTCGCTGCGTGTTGAGGAGGGAAGGCCCTGAAGGTAACCGACATGTTGTGTGCCGTAGAAGATCCTCCAAATGAGACAGGCAAATCCGGTAGAGTATAGAGCTGCAGCAATGCCTCAATCCCACCCTTCTCAATAAACAGCTTGCTTGTGTCCGCATTCTGGAGCACTGTCTCTAAAAGCCGAACCGAGTTGTTGATATACTCGGAAAGCGAGCTTTCTGCGGTTGAGCTTGAAGTCTCGGGTGCCGGGTCCTCCGATGGTTGCTTTTCTTCACCACCGTCAGTATCCATAGGCACGGGTGTGTCAACGTCTACCGCACCTCCCATCGCAGCTATCGTTCTCAAAATCTCGATGCAGACGTCTATACCAAGAGCCCGCAGAGCTGGGACGTGACGCATGAGTTCGTCCAGGCTGGAGGCCAAGGATCCCGGTGTGTCGTTGGCCAGAGCTTTCAAGTACATCTTCGATGTAAATATCTTGACAAAACACCGAAGAGCATCACGGTCCTTGACAGCTTCCAGTCCGGCGTTGTTAAGGCAAATCGCGTCGAGGCTAGTTGGAATGCAGCAGATAGCCTCCGATGACGGAAGGACGCCGCTGGTGATGGCATCAAGAAACGCACCAGGGAGTCCTGCCTTGTCCAGCGACGGAAAGCAAGTTGGATCCCTGTGTATCAAGTCGCTCATAACCGATGCCGCAAGCGAAAACACCCCGCCACCAAACAGCTTTGCGTGCTTGAAAATGGTACTCAGACAAAACGGCAGCGAGCTCTCCTCTGAACCATGAAGTCTTGCATTACCACCCGGTGCATAAGTGCCAAGAGATATCGCGCGTAACAGTGCCTTGAGCAGAACCCTGTGATGATATGGGATGTCGTGCGTTGGACCTGCGTCTTCGCTGATTGGAGCCTTTCCTTTGGACGAGGATGCTTCTTCTTGCCTAGCACCCGAGACATCCTCGAAAGCACTAACTTCGACCTTCAGCCTAAAGATGGTATCATCCAAACCACCTAAGTCCCTGAAGAGCGTGCTCGCTGGATTGCTATAGTCCATAAAAGCCTCTAGAATGTGCACAGCCAGAATCACCAAATGTATGTGTCTCCTGTTGGTATCCTTCAACAGCGGCAGAAGGATAGGAATCAACCCGGCTTCTCGGAGTGCCGCACAACCGGAAGAAGATGAGACCAGCACGGACACGAGCTGAAGAAGAGCTTCTACGAAATTCAGCGAGTAGTGGGGAGTTGTGCTTGCTAGCGACGCTACAGCCTTCTGCACCAGTGTCGGTATGATCCCACAATTCCCACCCGCAGTAAGCACGCTGTAAACGGCAGCCTGACGTGGTCTATCCATCGACATCCCAGCCAAGGCACCCAGAGCCAACATCCGGACATCCTCAGGCACTTCATCTTCGTGATAGAGCAGTGAAACCAGCTCGTTGACAAACTCCGGCTCGTTCACGAAGAATGCAGCAAGGTCCTCGTGGTCGGGATTCGACTGTATCAAAGCTGTGAATGCCGCGAGCCGTATGCGGACATACTGTCTCCGTGTCTCAAGGATGGAGAACGCACGAGCAAACCGAATTCTAGTCAGCAGCGAGAACTTCAGGTTGTCTGGAACCTTGTACTGCTCCACCAACGTCTTCAACACCTGAAGATCACTTCCTGGATACTGATGAAGGTTTTCGATGTGAATAACTTGCAGCCCCGATGCACTCGAGTCGCGGGATTCCCCTTCCTTGTAGAACTCAAAATGTAGGAAAGATCCTAATCTGCAAGCCTCTGCGTCGCACCCGCTGCTACTCGTGCAAGCCAACAGGCCGAGTCCCTCCTCCTTTCCACCCCAACCTTGCGACAAGGAAAACAGCTTCCCATTCATGACCGGATCCCTGTGCACCCGAAAAGCTCTTGCAACCTGTGCCGGCCTCTTCACGTAGGATGCGAGTGTTAGAAGCGTATCAAGAACAATGTCTGGATCGGTCGACGCTAGCAGCACAGTCAGGTGCTGCAAAACCGGAATGTTATCACCTCCTCACTCGTACAAAACAAAACTTCCACTCACCTCCAAGGAGTTGTAGAAAGACCTGTTGACGCAGTTGTCTAGTAAACACCGTGTGACCCGAAGAACTTGTAAAACAGCCTCTTTGGGGACGTCACTCTCATCGCTACCCTCTAAATCAAGCTGTAGGTCTTTCCTCGACGTCACAAACTTCTCCAGGAAACTATCAAAATGGTTGATCAAATCCAGCCAGTGGAAAAAATCTCCCTGGTAGAAACAACCATGGCACTTAGCACAGGTGGAAATGACGAAGAGCATACCTTCTCAAAATCCCAGTAAAAGCTGCTCAAAACAGTGTGTATGCTCTCCAATGGCGTGCTCACTACGTTATTGATGAACGAACGAATTCGCGGTGGCTGGAAAAACGATCGAATTTCAGCTCAATCCGGACACAGAACCCTAAGAACTATAGAGGCATGCAAAGCCGCCGAAGCGCGGGCGAGAATCCAAAAGCTTACCGTCTCCGCGCCTCTCTTCCTCTTCACCTTCATCCTGGAAGCTCGCAAACCCTCGCAAATCCCAGCTTCTTCTAGCTCCCCCGCGACCAGATCGATCGACTTCTAGGGCTCCATGAGCTGCTCCCAGCGCCCCGCCTAGAGCGCCCTGGGCATCAAAACCTAGCCTAAGCGCAGTGGAAGACCTATACGGCGGTGGAAAAAAGTGCACTTGTGCCACTCCCTCTAATCAACCCTCCTGGGGCGGATATTCCCGGAGGATATTCCTTCACGACAACCGGACACGTGGCCAGGATATTCGCTGGCCGGGTAGCGAAGAACCCTAAAATCTCCCGCCCGGATGAATCGCGGGGATTGCCTCCTGCTCATCCAGCGCTGCAACGATCGGGAATCGGCGAGACAGATCCACGCCCGTGTCGATCAGTACCACCGCGCCGGCGATGGATTCGTGTGTAACAAGCTCATCGACATGTACGCGCGGTGTGGGAGCGCGGCCGACGCCCGGGCGGTGTTTGATTCGATGAGCAGCGGCACCAGGGATGGATTCTCGTGGGTAAGCATGCTGTGCGCCTACTCCAGGAGCCGCCAGATCGCCAGGGCGAGGGCATTCTTCGACGAGGAGATCCCTCCCTGGGCCAAGAACATGGCGGCATGGAATGCGATGCTGGCCGCGTATTGCCAGGCCGGGGATCTGGAAGAATCGTGGCGCTTCTTCGCGGCGGCGCCGGGCTGGAACCAGATCTCCTTCAATGCGCTCCTCTCGGCGCATGGGCACGATCACATCCGCGAGAGCAAGCAGCTCTTCGACACGGGGACGCCAAGCTGGGATCTCGTCTCCTGGAACACGATGCTGGCGGCGCTGGCACAGGCCGGGGATCTGGAAACTCTCCAGCGGCTCTTCGACGCGATGCCCGAGTGGGATCTAATCTCCCACAACGCGATGCTCCTGGGGCTCACGCAGCACGGTAAGCTCAACGACGCTCGACGCTTCCTGGACGCGATGCCGCAGAGAAATCTCGTCTCCTTCACGACACTACTGCGAGCTTACAACAGTTCCCAGTGGCAATCCCAGTCTCGGCAGGAAGAACAGGCCATGGATGTGGAGCTCTTGCTCCGGCGAATGCCCGAGCACAACTTGGTCTCCTCCACAGCCATGATCGGGGTGTATGCCCGAGTCGGCGACTGCGCTAGCGCCGAGAAGATCTTCCACTCGATGCACCAGCACGACACGGTAGCCTTGAACGCGATGCTCTCAGCGTATGCCCAGACCGGGTTTATCGATCGAGCCAACGCCATCTTCGACTCTATGCCGCAGCACGACATGGTGTCATGGAACTCTCTCCTCTCGGCCTACACGCACAACGCCAGCGATCTCTCCAAGGCCAGGGCGCTGTTCCAACGAATGCCGGAGAGGAACCTCGTCTCCTGGAACGCGCTCCTCACTGCGAGCTCCCAGCACGGCTCTCTCGACGAGACCAAGAGAGCTTTCGACTCGATGCTGGCCTGGGACTCCATCTCCTCCAACGCGATGCTGCTAGCCTATGTCCGGAGCGGCCACACCGACGAGGCCGCCACCTTCTTCCGGAGCCTGCCTTGCCGCGACCTCGTCTCCTCCACGAACGTCCTCGTCGCGTATGCCGAGAACGGGGTGCTCGACAAGACGAAGCGGCTCTTCGAGGAGATGCCCGAGTGGGACTCGGTGTGCTTGACGGCCATGCTCGTCGCGTACGCGCACAAGGGGTACCTCGAGCACGCCAGGCAGCTGCTGGATGGATTTCTGCGAGACGACGTTGTGGCTTCGGTGGCGATGCTCGTCGCTTACGCCCAGCACCGGCACTTGGAGCACTCGAAGCAAGTGTTTGGTTCGCTGCTCATCCGGAACTTGGTCAGCTGGAACGCGATGCTCGCGGGGTATGTCATCAACGGGGAGATCTCTCGGGCGATTCACTTCTTGGGCTCCATGCCCGAGTCGGACATCATCTCCTGGACGACGCTCCTCGCGGCCTACGCTCACAGCGGCCAGTTCTACGAGGCGGTCCTTCTCTTTGACACGATCAAGATGGTGGAGCTCCCGGACGAGTCGTGCTTCGTCTCGGTGCTGGTTGCGTGTAGCCACGCGGGAGAGGTGGCTGCCGGAGTCGCGAGCTTCGTTTCGATGAGCAGCGACTTTGCGATCCGGCCGAGCAAGCACCACTTTTGCTGCATGGTCGATCTTCTGGCGAGATCGGGTCACTTGGTCGAAGCCCAAGATCTGATCGCCAGCATGCCTTTCACGACGAGTGCCGAGGAATCCAAGCGACTTCTAGGATCATGTACAACTTCTTCGAATATGAATGATATTAGAAGTAAAGTCTCCATGGCCAGCAGCTCTAGCGTCTCCACTCCAGTCATGGATCCAGCTTTCTACGTGCTTCTCTCAAACATGTTGTCATCTACATAGGCGATAGATGAGCGAAAAATTCTCATTGTTCTTCAAACACCAGGCCAAACTTTCTGGAGTCCCTCCAAAGCTAAACCCTTTCAGCCGCTCGAGCCCACAGATCACTGACGCATCGGTAGTGTTGCTCACCTGGAATCAAGCCGTAGTCCCTCTCCATGGAGTCCAGCACGCGCATCCCCATTCCAACCCTGCCCCAATGGCTGCATGCTACCAGCGCCGAGGCAAAGCAAGCGCGATCCGGCGATTCCACGAGCTTGGCCTCGTTGAAGATCTCTACTGCCCGATCGAAGGCCGCATTGCGAGTGTAGGAGTCCATCATCGCGGTGAGAGCCACCAGGTCCTTCTCCGGCATGGCCACGAACACGCCCAGGGCGCGCTCCAAGAGGCCTAGCTGCGCGTAGCCATAGACGAGCAGCGTCCAAGAGTATGGATTCTTCTCCGGCATCGCATCGAACAGGCGCTTGGATTCGTGGATCCTGCCCTCGCGGATGTAGGCGCCGAGCATCGTGTTCCAGGAGACCAGATCCAGGACTGGAATCCGATTCCACAGCCGCTCCACAGCCTCGTCGAGATTATTGCCGCAGTAGGCCGCCAGGATCGCGTTCCAGGCGGCTAAGCTGTGATCCGGCATGAGATCAAACACGACCTTGGCTTCTTCCATTCGAGCCGATTGAGCGTGCAAGGAAAGAAGCGCGGTGGAGGAGATTTCGTCGTGGACGGGCAAAGATTCACACAATGCCGCCACAGCCGCTGCCTGGTATTCACTACCGATCATCTGCGAGAAGAGATTGAGCATCATCGTGGCGGAGACGATATCCCACTGCGACATCGCCTCATTAAAGAATCGCTGCGCCTCGGCGTAGCTCCCGCCCTGGACGAGCGCCAGCAGCATCGAATTCCAGGAGATGAGATCCAGCTCCGGCATTCCCTGGAAAACCCTCGTCGCCTCTTCCAGCAGCCCCTTCTTGGCGTATCCCGCCAACATCGCATTCAAACAAGCCCTATCGCGCAGCTCCATCGCCAACAGAATGTCCCGCGCAGCTTCCAAACGCCCGTGATCGGCATATTCTGCTAGCATCGCGGTCGACGACACAAGATCCCACGCCGGCATGCGTTGGAACACGGAAAAAGCGGCCTCTGCATGGCCGCCACGTATGCTGGCCGTTAAAAGGCTTGTCCACGTCACGACGTCCCACAGTGGCATCGCGTGGAACACTCGCAAAGCTTCTTCCAAATGCCCCAATTGGGCAAATGCTTCCACGAGAGAATTCGAAGCGACGAGATCTTTGTGTGGCATTTGCGTAAAGATTTCCACTGCTAGCTCGATTCTCGCGCTGCGAGCGTAGGCATTGAGCATGATCGTGTAGGAGATCGCGTCGCGCAGTGGCATTCGATCGAAGACGCTCTTCACGCCATCCAGATTCTTCCTCCGGGCATTCGCGGCAAGCAGTGAGTTCCACTGCGACAATCCCATATCGCTCCCGCAAAATCGAAGCGATTCAATTCACAAAACTGGTGTCAGTAGACAAAATTTCCTCGAAGGAATGGAGAGAAGAATCTATACTTCCTATCGGTGCCTCCTCGAGGGATCGTCTTCCTCGCCTCCGCCTCTCAAATCCTTCCCATTCTCACCCTGATCCACACTGCCACCACCGCCACTGGAACCATCAGCATTGCCAGGGATCTCTGCCTCTCGATCCAGCACGGCGTCGAGAATTCCAGCCAAAATTTCGCCAGTAAAACCCTCCGGATCCTCCAAATCCCCCGGCAATGGACTCGGTCTCGCAAAGAAATGCGGCTCCTCGTCGCCGGGCATCAACACCAAGAAAGCCCCATCGTAGTTCTCGCTACCCTCGTCCTCTCCGGCGGCGGCATCCATAGCCGCAAGAGCTGCGGCCGATTCCACGTCCAATCCCACCCTGGCCGGCCTCCGGTACTTGTAATACGAGTAGAAGAGCAGCAGCAACGCGATCGCGATGAGGAAGAGCATGACGCACAGGCCGGCGATGACGATCACCATCGTTGGAGCTGGCTCCTGGCATCCCACCGATCCGTCGGGGCACAGATTCTGCGATGGCGGCAGGGTTCCTCGATCGAGCTTGGCACCTGCGCGAAATATTTCGTGAGGAAAGATTGAAAAGCACGCCATCACGGACCGAAATTTGGAGCAGCAGCGCCTCCCCCGCCCATCTCCTCCCGGTTCTTGCTCGTCCAAGCGCTCGCGATCAAGAAGATCACATCTCTCCATCCTGCTGTGGCAGCCGCGGCTCCCCTGCAGCTCAAAGTCTTGGATCCGCGCAAGATGATCGAAAACCCTCACTACTTCTCGAGCTCGCGGAGGCGATCATCGCTATCCCCGGCGACGCCTTAGGCGGCAAGAAAGAACTTATGAAGGATCGCGTCTTTTGAGCTGACCTAGGCTAGCTACATTCTTTTGAGCAGGCCAGGTCGGTGGTTCGATACTCCTTCCTTTCTCTTCCTGGTTATTAGGGCGAGCAATGGCGCCCCTGAGCTAGAGGTGAGCAGCGGTGCCGACGAGCGATCGATGGAGGCGCTGTCCAGCTTCAAGCCGATCTGCAATCGAGCGCAGGGCCAGATCGATCCCTTGCTTGCCGCGCATTGCAACAGCACCGCATTCTTGTTCTCCATCAATCCTTCCCGCTACGAGGATTTGCACGTCGTGGTGTCCGACTTCCATTCCAACACCTGGCGCGCGAGCTTCGACTACGACTACCTCGAAAATCTGGTGAGCATTGTGTCTGTGCTCAACGATTTCTGGCTATAGCTTGAGTGGTTCTACTGCAGAGAAATGAGCTGGGAATACGCGATAGCTTCCCTGTCTATATGCAAAATCTACACGATGGCTTTTCATCCAACCAAGTGAAGTTTGAGCTCAGCGCGGCAGCACCTAGTCGTGAGTTTCTTCTTTATGCTTGCTTAGTTTTTCTGGTGTTCTTCTCGAACACTTCCCTCACTTTTCAAATGCTCCCATCCCAGGTGCTGCTGCATCGGGACGACTGAAAACCAGGATCTCCTTGAGAGAAATCTCGCTGGAGCTGGAGCTTTCAGAAGGGAGATGTGCCAGCGACAACATGAGCACACTGATTTGGGAGTTTTTCGAGATCCTTTCAGCAGGTTGGTTCTTAGAGACGGCGTGTTGCTTCTTGTTTGTCATGCCTTAGTTCATCGCTGATGTAGCCTTTTTGATTTGAAGCTTCTTCTCGCAGCCAAGAGCCGAGTGTTCCATTTGGAAGCTGCTCTAGCGGAAGGGAAGGTACACGGAGCAAGCTCGCTCTTATAACTGCTAATGTTTTTCATCTCACAGATCAAAACTTTGAAAGTTTTGGATACTGTGGAGTGCATTAGAGCGAAACAGAGGGCCATGGCTATAAACGTCAGCCCTTTGAACCCGTCGCGGAAGCAGCCCAAACCTGTTTTGCAAGCGGCACCCTCGACTGTCAAGGTATTTAGTATTCGTCTTCCTTCTCCAAACAGCTTGTTCTTCTAGTTTCCCAGTAATTCATCCGACGGGAGCTTTTTCCTTGGAGAAGCTCCTTGCAGCCCGGACTTGAAGCTTGAAGAAACGTATTGTGCCGGTACGTATTCCAGCTCTGGCACTATGCTTCTGCTTACGTTGAAAATGCAGGCGGTGATGAGATGAGCGCTTCTACTGCGAATGGTATTCATGACCAACTATTTGAGGCAATGCCAAATAATCAAGGTCTACTTCCGTCCCTGGATATGCAGCCGCATATTAATGCTGACGCTGATCGAGAAGAGAAGAATCGAAGCCTATGTAGTGATTTGTGGGCGAAGTATGCGAAGATTTTCTTGCAGCTTGGTTTACATGCTAATGTTTTTCTTTCTACTGTCATTTTCCAGGCGGCATTTCTTAGAATGGAGGAAAGAGCAGGGACTGCCATCTTCTAATCTCGAGGATCTACCTCTGCCAGAACTTGCTGATTGTCTTACAAAGTTCTTTCGCATGGTAAAGAAGCGGAACGGAAGCCTTTTTCCTTCGGAAAGGTACAGGTTTATCTTTCCTGTTTTTTTCTGATTACCCACGCAAACTCGTTTTTCTGTTTCTAGTTTGCGTGCCATGTTCCGGGCATTTTGCCGCATTCTCAGATCTCACTACAGAAAACTACAACTACAGGGACAATATGATGGTCCTGGGGTCGACTTGAGCAGAGACTCACTCTTTGAAAGAGCGAGGCTTGCATGTCTCGAAGCTATGAAGTATAGCAAATCACACGGAGGAAATGTGAAACGAAGGAAGAAGCCTGACGAATGGATTCCTGCTCCGGAGGAGGACATTCTTTGCCATCCTGCAAACCAAGTGACGGACCCGTATGGTTTGCTGAAGAGGCTTTGCTTCTACGTCATACGCAAGTTTCATGTCCATGGACATATGGAACTCTACTATACGACGGACGTAGAGTTCAAACGATTTGGGAACGGGGACGGCACTGCGACCTGGGAGTAAGTTCTCGCTCGTCTTATTCTTTCATCTTTCTGGTTATAATGGCTTGAAAATGTTTGCTTTCAGATACGATGAGAAAAGAGCTGCAAATCACAAGCGAAAATCCTCGTTTAGAGAGCCTGTGTCGTGCTCCGAGAGTGACGTCGTGCTATGTCTGGACAAGTACTTCTTCCACGCGCCTCCAAAAGCTTCCGCGAGCGAACCAAGGCAACTCTTTCTAGCTCCGATCGGAAAGCCCGAATCGAACGTAAGTCGTGCATATATCTTTTCCTCCTTGCTGATACCTTTCTTCTCTTCACAGGTCTGGTACCGGAACCAAATCATGAATCTCAAAACTTTGCGTGGATGGTATAGATACATGGGCCCAATGCCAGGTCGAGCCGATTCCGATCCACACCTGAGGTAAACTTTGCGTTTTATACCAGTTTTCGTCTCCATTCCTGACTCGATCATCAGTAGCAGCATGTCACAAATGGACGTACTTTACCACGACAGTGATCCGGATCACAACTTGGACGCTGCCGTGAGCTCGGCTGCGTACCTCACGACTCCCAGAGAGTTCCAAGACTCCGGGAGCTTCGAAAGAAATGGCGGCGGCGGCGTCGTTCCAATGGGGCTGGGATTGGGCTGTGGCGGGGACGAAGAACACTACGATGGTTTCGACGCAAGCATCAACGACGATCTCTCGGACAACGAGCGCTACTAGAAGAGGTTTTTGCTTTCCATTATTTTCTATCCATCTCTTCGATCGAGAAGCTTTCTTACTGGGCAAATCTCTTCTTCACTTCCTCGAAGCGGACTTTGGTGAAATCCAAGAGTTCCTGCTGGTCGGGAAAAGCGGCCTTGGCCTCTGGAGAGTCTTTGACCGCGGCGATCCAGCGGTGGAGGAGGGGACAAGTGTCGGGGCCGGGCACGCGGAGCCGTCCGATCTCCGTGTACGTCGGGAGCCACCATGGAAGAAAGGAGGCGGCGATGTCCACGAAGCCCATGCTCGTGTTGCTTCCACTGAAGAACACGCCTCCCTGGCTCTCGAGAAATCGCTCCAGCGCTACCATGTCTTGGATCATCTCATCGTTTGCGCGCTCCTTCTCCTCGCCGCTCGAGATCGCGGCCTTGAACGATGCCGCCGTTAAGCTCAGGAACTGGATCATCGAGAAAAAACCCCAAAATCAAAGAAATCTATCGATCCAATCGATGGATTACCTTCTTGTCGACGAAATCCGCCCAGAAGCGAGCAGTGGCCCGCGCGAATGCGTCATCGCGCGGCAGGAGGAATCCGGTGCCGCGATCCGGCCACACCTCGTCTACATACTCGACGATGTTCATGGATTCGCAGATCGCCTTGCCATTGTGGATGAGCACGGGGATTTTCTTGTGCACCGGATTGGATTCCAGCAGCAGCGCGCTCTTGGCATTGAAGAGATCCTCCTCCTGGAGATCGTAGTGCAGGCCCTTGAGATCGAGCGCCAGCCTCACCCGGCACGCGAAGGGGCTCGACCAAAAGGTCAAGAGCTTCAATCCCTCCTCCCCCATTCTTCTTTCTCCTTTCTTCTACTTCTAATCGCTCAAGTAGCCATGGAAAGCATATTCGAGGAATCTAAACAGAGGAACCCTAACCCCAGGTTAATTTGTTTAATGTGGGAATTATGCGATTGGCTGGATTCCGGATTGGGCGTAGAAGCTTTTGTGGCCGCAGGGCTGCGTTCCAGTGTTTGTGGAAAGCACCCTAGAAAGAAAGAGAGAAAGGGAGTGGAAGCAACACGATGGCGCTCCGGTCTATGGCGGCGCAAGCTGCCACGATTCTGAGAATTCGATGCCAGCCTCACCTGGCGCAGGCCTTGGCGATTCCACTGGCGCGCGGATTTGCAAGTAAGTCCTGGGATTTTCATCGCAATGTAGGCTTCTTGGCATGGATCTAGCACGCAAATTCAGCGTGATTCTTACCCTCTTTCGTTTTTTCTTCCAGCCGAAGCTCCAATCCCCCAAGACTTGAAATTTCTGGAATCGCACGAATGGGTCAAGGTGGAGAGTGGGACTGGAACTGTGGGTATCAGCGACCATGCCCAGGTAAAACGAGCTAGAAATTTTTAGTTTTATTTTCTATCTCTCGTGATTGTCGTGTGTATGTAGCATGAATTGGGTGATGTGGTGTTTGCGGATTTGCCAGAAGTTGGGTCTTCTGTGACGAAAGGGAAGAACTTTGGTGTGGTGGAGAGCGTCAAGGCTTGCAGCGATATCTACAGCCCAGTGTCTGGCGAAGTGATTGAAGTGAACGAAGAAGTCAAGCAAACTCCAGCGCTCGTAAGTGACACCAGGAGCAAAACGAAGCTTTTTTTTTTTTCTTGAATCACTCCCGAATTGCTTTCTTGCTTCCAGGTGAACAAGAATGCGTTTGGCGAGGGATGGCTGATCAAAGTGAAGATGTCCAACGTCTCCGATCTCGACGGCCTAATGGACCCAGCTGCGTACGAAGAACACGTAAAGAGTGGAGGGCACTAGCCTAGCTAGCCATAAAATCAAAGAGAGAGCCAAGTTCTTTCAAGCTCAAATGCTCTCATCATCTCTGGGGTTGAGATCAATTTCATGTTTAGACTTTGAGATCGGATAGGCTGGGAGGTATCACTGGTTGACATGAATCTGATCTTGTGAGCTAGAAAGTGAGAGTGATACGCATCTCCACAAACTTCCTATGAGACCTGCATCACAATCCTTGCCTGTAGCAGTGCCACGAATGAAAAGTTTTCTTCATCTGCAAAAGAAAACAAAGTTGGCAAGAGTTTACAACAATGCGCACACCTCTCGGAGTGGAGAACCAATTGTAGGTATTCATTGAGTTTTACTTACCTACAAGGCCTACTTTTCAGATTTTCTTACTAGGTGATTGTCATAGAGGGCACGGATGCAATCACTCTAGAAGTCTTGTATCCCATGCCTTTCAGGTTCAAGCTCGCTGCTTGCTTCTAAAGTTGCGGAAATGAGAGTTGGTGTGGATGAGGTGATCAGGAAAAGATGATGTGGATGTGAGAAGTATTTTCTTTCTTTTAAGTTTCTTGATTAAATTCCGTATAAAACTTGATGTACTTCCAGCATAAGGAAAAAAAGTAGCGCTAGTTTTGGTTTGCCTGCACACTAAAACAGCTTAGACCAGTCAGTTAGAATCTCGGTTTCCCAAAGCATGCGTTTCGGGTTCGATTCCCCATGTTACTTAAGAATATTGGGGATGGATAGATGATGCATTCCCGTTGCTCGCGACTCTTTGCCACTGCCGTGAAAATCCAGAAAAATCGCTACAATCGTCACGGGGAACAGTAATCAGCAACGTATGTAGTCTCCTCCAGAACAAAGGAAAATCCTCTGGAGGTAGCTGCGAGGCTTTTAAATTCGACAAAGCTCTCGAAGTCCTGTTTCCTTGGTCTTTGCTAGATGTATCATTGAGAAAAAACCGAGCGTCGCAGATGCAGGAATACAAACTCGCAACCCGGGGAGACTTATAGCTTCGATGATCAATGAGCATTCAACTCCCACGAAAAACTTGAAGAGGAAAGATAGAGCGACACGAACGAGCACTCGAGAAGTCTTGCGGCAGTAAGGAGGAACTTGAACAGGTGCTCGCCAGATTCGGACGAGATGGGAACGATTTCCTGGCGCCAGATGAGGGAGCCTGGACGAAGCTCGGCGATTTTTCAACGACATAAAGCAGCGAACCGTGGTGTCCTGGAATGCGATCATGGAGAAAAGGATTTAGCACTGGAACTTTTCTCCACCATGCTGGATCAAGGCTTTGGCTGTTCGTGGTGCCTGCGCCGTCTTGGCAGCGGGAGAAGACGGCAGAGAGGTGGCTTGGATAAATGGTGAAAGTGGGCTCTCTGGAGAGAGCAATGTCTTTCCAGGAGGGGCCTCGAGTCTAACCGGTTTCTGGCAAGCATGCAACTCGACTTTTACGTCAAGTGTGGATCTCTGGAAGATGCTCCACAGGTTTTTGACAGGATCCAAGACCGCAGTGTGTCATCTTGGAACGTTATGATCCGGAGAGCAATCAAGGCGAAGTGGCTCTCGAGCTCTTTTCTCTGATGCAACGCACTAGAGGTGGTGAGCTGGATGCTCGGACATTCCTCGTGGCAGCCATTGCCTGCACGAGTCTGGCAGCTAGAGAAAGTGCAGAACTTCTGCAGGGAAAACTTATCAAGGTGGTCAATTTGGAAAGAGGCATGGCACTTCATAAACTACTTGGAGGAAAGGTCCCTGCGAACCTATTCGTTGGGAGAATCCTCATCAACTTGTACACGAAGTGCAGGAGCACGATGGACGCTACTCGGGTCTTTGAGAAGATGCGACGTGGTGCTGTGGACTGCTTTGGTTCTGGCATTTGTGGAAAACAAAGAGGATGAAGCGGCCTTGGAGGTTTTCTCTCGCATGCTGCAGGAGGAAAGCTTGGCACCGGACTCAAGAACTTTTGTCGCTGTCTTGAGAACAAAGCTTTACCATGGTGAGCCTCTGGTGTAGTGGCAGCTCCCTGATATCCCAGTTTCTGCTGTTCCTGCCAAGCCAAAACAAATCATGAGCAATTCGATGGATCAATCGAAACATATCAGCCATTTTCCTTCCAAGTTATGCTTTTCTGATTATGATTATTGGACATTGTTTTCGTGAGGGAAACAATGCCAAAATCAATTTAGAGTTACAGCATAAACAGTCAGAGTGTTTACATGAGTTTACATTATTGTCTAACTATTTAGCTTTTCCAATGCTTGTCTCACATTTTCAACACTTGCAATTTTCTTAAACAGATTGTTTATTGTTTTCAATTCATAATACTTATGCATGTGTGGATGAGAATTCCATTGCTTGGCTGCAAGAAAAAGGATTCTAGCTTATCATCCACAATCACTGCCTTAATCTCGAGAGATTTTTCACAACTTTTTTCCCTACGACTTCCTTGGGTAAGCACGAATCTCTATACAGACAATGGGCAAAGAAATTCCCAGTTGGGTCGAGTTTGTCTAAAATCTTGTCCACATATGACTTCATTAAAGCACAATATTGTATATTTTATTCATCTCTTTTAGAAAGTCATCCACACTTAGCCTCTTTGCCACTGCAATGGAATAATTTCCCCACTAAAGAGCTTGAGGGATGCTATGGCTTTATAGGCATGAATTAGTGTTTCATCCATATCCACATAAGCATGAGTTTTTTCTCCAAAACTGGTGGCAACAGCAAAGAATAATTTGACAACTTCACTTTTTTGTTCTTCTCTTTTAGTGGTGATGTCGAGCATCACAAAACTCCTTTTCATAGCTGATAAAAATAATGCAAGCCCTAGATTAATCGTAACAAACCATTAATACACTTCCATGTAGAAATTCCATGATGCCAACCCTAGTGCCGAGAGTCTCTAGGCAGCTCAAGCTCCATGCTCGGGATCCTTGTGGATCTTCTAGCAGTCTAAAATGAAAAAAAAGGGTATAAATCAATTATTTACTTGCATGTAAATGTTTTGTTTCTATTCCATAGAACACAATCACTCAACAATTACAAAGCTTAAGATAAGATACAAACAAGAATGAAAGGCTTACCCTATTGCTTTGTAACATGCACAAACATAATAAGCCATTGCAATGCCAAAAATTTGCATATGTGATTAAAAATGTGAGAAATCAATGGAATATTAGTTATAATATAATTGCAATTTCAATTTCAATTTCAATTTCTCATAAAAAAACCCACTACATTCAACATTCTAACAGCTCCAAAAAAAGCTTTACTCTCGCCTCTATACTTTAATCTCCACACTAATTGATCATTATCTAAATTAATGCACCATGCTATGAACAAGCTATGAGAAATGAGAGGCATTTGTGAAAGTGATCAAAACACTATATTTATATTAGGGCATACTGCTCTGCAAGAAATTAGGTATAACTGCATAAAATAAGAGGTAAATGAAACTCATGCAAAGGAAAAGAGAGATATTCACGATCAGAAGATTACAAATCTATACTCAATAACATAAGAATGAGACAATAAACCTTACTAAATTTATGGTGATGTTATGTTGTCTAACATGACATTTATTGCATAGCAATATAAGGTGTCATGCCCAATGCATATATAACATATCTTATAAAAAAAATATTATGCACATAATCATGTTTCAATTGTTTATATAACAATTGAAAAGTGATTGTGTGCATAATAATAACTCAAAAAAAAAAAAAGAAAGATAGAAGACCATGCATGGTGTTTCACTTTGAGAATGATCGGGAAAAAAAATATTTTAGATTCAATGGCAAAGATTGCTATCACAATTAAAGCCAATAGCAAATAGAGGTGAATTAATATTGTATATGTAAAGGATCCACATGTTTTTTCTCCAACGCTAAATCTGGAGGAAGTTTGTGGCATTTCTCTAGTCTCTATGACAAAGTTAAGACTCTTTTGAAGATGAACTACCACACTTGTCTCATGTGGGAGGTAAAGTAGTATGTTTTGATCACAAGTTGGAGAATGTTCACACCTCACTTGAATTTACAAATTGGAGTTAAATTGTGATCAAACATTGTTTTGGCATTAGAGACATATTGATGGTGGAGCTTTATGGTAGGTTTCGCATGTCATAAAGCATAAGAGGTGGCTTTAAGTTTCATGGCAAGGGAGGCAGATGACCCAAGAGCAGCACAAAATGTTCATGCTTATAATTTTATTACTTCGTGAGAGTTCATTCTTGATGTTGTTTTAGTCCCTATAGGACATTAAGGAATGTATATATATATATTATTCACATATGTGTAAATATATAATGCTCCTATGTGCAATCATAGCAAACGTCAGTTGATCGTCAAAAGCATCACACTCAATCTATACACATCTGCCTCGTCTCGCCAAACATTTCAGGATCGCCATAGACTTGATCAGCCACAGCACGGAACGAACTTCTCAACCTACCACCGGGTGTTCTTGGAGATTCCCGACCATGACATGAAGCACATTGGTGGAGTGGAGTTTGTCTCCTCCTGGTGCCTGAGGCGCTTTAACGAAGTCTTTTATGAGTGAAGGGTGGACATGTTCCGGGGAGACACTTTCTCCCTCCCGAGTTTCCACCCTGTAGAACACATTTCGAAAGAAGGAAATTCTTTTCGTCCTGATCTCATCGCACCCAAAGGAACCAGCCGATTGACATCTACCGACGTGATCACGAGCTCGCTGGTAGCATAGTAATCGAAGACGTCTTCGTCATTCTTGCTCCAAAAGGTCCTGGTACGTCCGGTCGTTGATGAGAGGTGGGAAATGGCGACGTGAGTGGTTCCTTGGGTGGAGGCACCGAGCGCTTGGAACAACGCACGCAATCAGCATCACGTACGTATGCTGAAAGATGATGGCTTACGAATCGAACACGGTGGTAAGGGAGTTGTTTGGAGGTCCAATCAGCTCTCTGGCGTTTGCACGTCCACGATCCCAAAGTCCCAGCTCGATCCTTGTCCCATCCTCCTGTGAGAAAGATGACTCCATTACGCGAGTTCAACCAGTATAAAGTTCAAGGAATACCTTGTCCATCCCAACGAGTGAATGGGAGAAACGCACTCGTTAAAGCCACTCAAAAGAGAAAATGGGAGTGATCGATCTTGGTAACCCGGTAACGAGACGCTCCACTCCCACAAGCCTGGGAGCCTACTCGTTAGCGTCACCTTGCCCCGTGATCCAAATGGAAAGGCTCAGCAATTCTCCAGCATACCAAGGGTGGCGCGGATCTATATCCTACCCCACAGCTGGGGTAGGATAGACTCTCCAGGGCTCGGCCGTGTCCCCGTACTGCTTCCTCCAACTGCGCCATAGCCCCGATTTTGAGTCTCCGTTGTATGCCAAGGATCGCGATACCGTGGACCGCCAGGATCCAGGCAATGATTCAAGCGGGGAGAATGGAGGAGGCCCGCTTCACCTTCCACCGAATGCCCAGCTGGGACGTGGTGACGTGGAACATGATAATCTCCAGTCATGCCCAGAGTGGGGATGTGGCAGCGGCGAAGCGACTGTTCGATTCCATGCCCGAGCGTAGCTTTGTTTCGTGGAACACCATGGCCGCCGCGTACGTGCGCAACAGCGATCCCCACAGCACGAAAGGAATCTTCGATCGGATGCCTCTGTGGAACACGGTGGCCTGGAACACGCTTATCACCGCATATTCCCAGGTAGGGCATTTCCAAACATGTTTACAGATCTTCTACTCTATGCCCCATTGGGATGTTTTCTCTTGTAATTACGTCATCACCGCTCTATCAAATCTTGAGAACCTTAGTGCCGCGATATCGCTCTTTGATTCCATGCCCCTCAGGAACGTATACACGTGGAATCTTATGCTTGCGGCATATGCCCAAACGAGGCAAATTGTTTGTGCGTGTCTTTTCTTCTCGAAGATGCCAGAGCCCAATGTGGTGTCGTGGAACGAGATACTTGGAATGTACACCGAGTCCCAAAAGCTTACAGAGGCACGCATGGTGTTCGATTCCATTCCACGCCCAGATGCCGTGTCGTGGACAATCCTGTCCAGGGCATATTCCCTGTCCGGGCATCTTGATGGTGCGACAGAGGTGTTTGCAAAGATGCCGCGTCACGATTCCGGAGCTTGCACGGGCATCATTGGCGCATTCTTGCAGTACGGCATATACGGCAAAGCCCATGGCATCTTCTCCGAGATGCCACACCGCAGCATCACGTCCTGGAATGCCGTTTTAGTGGCGGCATGCTCGGGTTATGGAGATTCCAGGGCAGTTTTTACCAGGATGCCAATGTGGAATCTGTCAAGCAAGACCGCAATGCTCCAGGCGCTTGCCCAGAGCGGCTGCTTGGACGAGGCCGAGGAGACTTTCCATTCCATGGCTTCTTCCACCGTGAATGTGGATATGGTGTGCTGGACTTCAATGATAATCGCCTATTCCATCCATGGTTCCATTGATAGGGCGAGAGACATCTTCGATCTAATGCCAAGGCGCGATTGCGTGTGCTGGAACGTAATGGTTGGAGCATATGCCCAAAACGGGTATCTCGCCCTCGCTCAAGAAGCCCTGGAGAAGATGCCCGAGAGGGAGGCAATGTCGTGGACGGCGACGATTGCCGCACACGCGCAGAGGGGCTACGTGGCAGAATCTCGTCGGCTGTTCGATCTGGCTGTCCAGAAGGGAGGTGGAGACGATGCAGTGCTGTGGACGGCCCTGATTGCGTCCTACGCTCTCAACGGCTGTGCCAGGGCGACCGTCGATACGCTCAGGGCAATGCTCCACCACGGCATCCCAGCCGACCACGTGGTCTTCAACAGCCTTCTCTTTAGCTGCGGCCATAGCGGGCTGGTAGCATTGGCGCGGGAGAGCTTTGTGTCCATGAGACACGAGCACTCACTGGAGGCAGGGCTCGATCACTACACGCGAATGCTGGGGATTCTCGCGCGCGCTGGGCAAATCGAAGAAGCACTAGATCTCCTCCAAGCAATGCCCTACCGCCCAAACGATGTAACGTGGACTACATTCTTGAGCGCGTGTGGGGCGGGTCAGTTGGATCCAGCGAGCTCCATTCACTATGTGTTGCTTACCAATAGCATTGCGCCCTAAATGATATGTGGCGGTCAAGTTCTCATGAAACCTATGAACTCACTTATGGTGGTACGTGATTGATTTCAAGGTGGTCAAATTTTGTGTAGATCAGAGTAAGAAGGAAGGCAGGCATTATACCTCATCATTAGTTTTTGTGAAGTATGGTCCAAGATATAAGACTCAAGCACTTTTGACTCGTACTAAACAAAAGCTGTGTCGTGAAAAACTATATATTTCATTTTATGTCACAGCAAGGGAGTGCATATGATTGGTCTTCTGTCCAACTGTAATGCCATCAAATAGTATTCAACAGCTTTTTAGGAACCCTAAAGGAATATATAACTTATGTTAGAAATTAGTTTTTTTGTCAGAAAAAAAAAGGTTAAATAGAAATCTGGTTAAGGGTTTTTTTGCACAAAGTGTTGGGTTTACTTGTCTCCCAACATGTTATGCAATTTTTTCAAAAACCACTGACATTTCTTTTCTGATCTTTGTGACCACATTTGGAAATTACGATACTGACTATTTATTGTGTGCTTTATTTAAGAAAGACATTCTAGAGTTTCTTTTGGAACAAAATGGGGGATATGGGATTGGAAGTATGTTGTAGTGTCCTTTAGCAATGCTAATATCTGCACAGGATATATTTAAATATTTAATTTTATCATTTTAAAATATTATAGAATTATAATTTTATATTACTTCATTTTTCTTGATCTATATTACCAAAATATTAAAATCTTATTGTTATTTCCACTTTGCAAGGAATTCAAAAAATATGGATATTGTAGTATTCTTTATTCTTTTAATCTTTTTCTTGATTTTTTATATTTCTCTCTCAATAGAATGTAATATTAACATTTTAAATAAGTTTGTAAGAACAAAAATAATTATAATTTACAGTGCTATCTCAAAAAATGAGTGTATCCAACAAACTAGTTAAAGCTCAAAAGTGCATCTTAACTGAACCAAACTCCCTATCTAAAGTTTTTTTAAAAAGATTATTTAACATTATTATATTTATACTTTTGATGATTTTCATGGAAAACCATATTTCAATTATTTTATTTAATAGAAATGAATCAAATAAATATCAATCATTTGTTAAAAAAATAAAATTTTATATGATGAGTTTAAAAATGAAGAAGATACTATAGATTTAGGTTTTTTAAATTTAAGTGTATAACAACATGATTATAGTTTATTTTGCTAGTACTATAATTCACATATTAAAGAGGATAGACCAATAGTTTTTCAAATTTAATATAGTTAATGTTTCTTAAACTATTACATAGTTTACTTGTGTCTATTGAGCTTAAACTTTATTATTATTAAATTATATTGATGTTTTTAACATTAATTATAGATTAAATATTTTATGTTATACTTTCTAACTTTGACCACTAAAATTATTACATCCATCATAATGTTCTTTAAATTTTAAAACTTTTTGGTTGTTAGTTTTATATATAAAATTTTCTTCTATTTTCTTACATGTTGAGCAATTAGGATTATAATCTTTTTCATTGCCATGCTCCATTGAACTTGAAAGTCATGGGATATGAAACTTCTAGAATGGATTTCTTATTGTTATCTCTATAATAATCACTTAGTAAGAAAATCTGAAAACTAAACCTTCTCACACCACTCCACTATCAGGGATAGGAGGTTTTGTAGGTTACTATTTATAAGTACCTCAGTTATCACCTCCACCTTCAGCAAATATAAACCACTCAACATGATGCTGCAATTGAGCGGATATACTCCTGCCAAGCAACCATTTACTGGTGGGATGTGCAAAAAGAGCACTATCAAGCTAGGGTCAACACCACACTGCTATATGGTTGTGCCGTATGGGTGCCCAGCCAATCATTGACAAGCTAGTCCCACCTAGAAGGGGCCTTCATCACCAACAATTTTAGGATCAAAAGGAGAGCACCTTATAGCTTGCTATGCATGCATATGGAACAACTTTCAATTGAAATCCAGGCATAGACGTGCACTATATAGTTCATACTTGCCACTTAGAGAGACATATTTAACCCTTATGTGATCAAAGCATAGATAATTTACTATAACCACACTTTTTTGGAGGAGTCTCAATCACAACTTTGTAAGTGACTAAATTTTCCATTCTACTTTAGTCACTTAACCACACTTTTAACCACTTGGAAGAATCTCACTCAAAACTTTTATATATTCAATTTTGGATTTAGGGACTTACTAATGTCGCAAATATGACTTCGGGTATCGAAAGATATTTGTCGGTCAGTCCTTACGAATACTCTCTCTTTACTACCACGACGGCAAGAGGTCGGTACTACTAATTCCCTTTACTAGTGCCCAAGAAATTGGTCAGCACATGTGCACTTAGACCAGAAGGGCAATAAAGAAGGAAATCCTGACATAGTGATGAGAAACTCATAATGTTAGCTTGTATTTGCTAGTGTTGGAAACCCCCACGATATTGAGACTAGTCACTCAATATTCGCTAAATGATAGCTTACCGTGTCTGCCAAACACCCTCACTATCATGCCCTTTGTGTTAGTCTTATTTCTGTCCTAAATACTATTTATGGAAAGTGTCTAGATTCACTCATTTGGCATATCTATGGAATGTAGAGATTGGCCTGAACACAATAATGTTCGTCCTATGTCCAAATTCGCAATCTAAGGACATTCCATATTTAGTAAGTTTCAAGTTTGTTCTAGAGACTAACTCCTAGTACTAAGGGAGGCTTGGGGTGAAAACCCAAAGTGTGTGTTCCTCAAGGGGGGGTGGGGGGGGGGGGGGGGGGGGTTCCCAAAGTATAAAAAAGAAAATGGTTGGGAAAGCATTTCTTACCCCCCGAAAAATTAATTTGGCTCCCCTTGGGCTGGGGCCCCCCCTGTTCCGGGTTTGGGTTGGGGCTAAACCCAAACTCTATGCTGGTTTAATCGGGGGGGGACCCCCCCCTTCCCATTAGGCCCCCCGTATGCCAAAAATGTGCTAAAATCCCTTTGAAACCCTTTTTCATGTAAAATCTGGAAATGGGGAGCTAGTGCTCCTGGGAATGTACTGGACTTTCCTTTTTTAGGGGAAAGGGCTTGGAGTTTGGCTCCCAAATT